ACACACAGTACTTTGATTAATGGCCCTAGCGGGAGCGTTTGGTGATAAGACTTTTTACAACTAAAGCAATTTGAATTTCGAAACCAGACGCAATAGATTTCCAACTTACGCATTAACTTCCATTGACTGCCTCACCCAAGTCGGGGATGTGTCTGAATCCAGCCCCTGTAAGCATTAGACGTCTTCCCTCCGTTTTCTTCCTCCATAACGCATGTGGATTTGGGGAGGGGAAAACCAGGGAAAATTACAAAATGACGTGACAGCTCTTTTGTTCCTTTTCTTCTCAAGTAAATAAACACTCAATTAACATATAATTAATGCATATTTCATAGTAAACAGATGATATCCTACTTACAGAGAACAAAGAAAATAATTTTTATTGGCTTTTAATATTACCTCTAGTTCTAGTTAATAAAAGCTAGTGACTAATTTGATGAGATTAAAAAAGAAGTTAAGTTAGTTATTTGTAATAATAGGTGGCGTTTTTTCTAAATATCATTATTAATCAATGTATTGACTAGAACTATCATTGTTAGAAAGACTACCTTGAAAAAAAATATATATATAGAGACAAAGTGGATTGGAGTCTTATATTTAACACCCAAATAAAAGTCAAACAAGATCTTATATTAAGAATTAGAAGCAGCATAACTCGTCTTGTTAATTTATTATGTGAATATATTGAACGTTGACAGGGAGATCTAAAAGAAAAAAAACCTCCGAAATTTTAAAATCTCAATTTAGAAATGAATACAAAAATGTATTATCATTTACTCTTTAAATGTAGATTTTTCCGAGCTGAGAGTTTATTAAATTTTAAATTAAAATTAATAAAATTTATTATTTTTGACTCTGATAAAATATATTCACGCAGCTATATACTGAGTCAAATAAAATGGCATCCATGGTTAAGAGAGAGATAGGAGAGGGAGACTAAATTCAATCCAAAAAAAAAAAGAGAGGGAGACTAATCATTATTTTCTTTGTGGTTAATCATGAGTTCGTTACATATGTTTTCATTGACATTTATTGTGGTGGGGACATTCAAAAACACATGAGGGTAGATGCATGCTTCCAGTAATCAGTATCTTGGAGATATTAATAGTAATACGTGGCATTATTGTTAAAATATTGCAATCGACTCTGCGTCCCACGGGGAAAAACGTGTGTCGACTTCTTTCAGTATGCGTCACTGTGACTCGCTGAAAAATCCTACTCGCAGAATTATTTTCATATTCATATTTTTCTTAAAAAAATAATTCCGTCCATTGCCTGCAAGGCTGCTCCTTTGTTTTTTTTAACCAACTACAAGGCTACGCCTAAGTAACCTATGATACTACCTCTTTTTTAATATAATAACTAGTTAACTGATTTGATTATATTAAAAAAATAATTAAATTAATTATTTAAAATAAATAAGTATTATTTTTTGAATATATTTAGTAATCAGAATATTGATTAGAACTATTATTATTACAAAGATTATTTTGAAAACTTGATAAATATGAGAGACAATTTGAATTTAAATCTTATGTTTAGAATCAAAATAAAAATTAAACAGATTTTTATATTAAAAATATAAAGTAGTACTACTAATTATAATGCCATTTAGTTGACGAAGCTAAACTAGGAAGAGAAGTCAATGAACAAGTCATAGATCCTGACATCCGGCCTCGAGAGTACATATGCGAACAAAAACCGCCGAGCCGAAAAATGACTATAGGGGTGTTTGGATAGAACCAAACCATTTTTTCAGAAGTGCTTTTACGGATTACGAAGTAAAATATGTGGAGGAGGTTACCTCGTTTTGCGGAAAAGTGATTCTGAAACCTAAGTTTTGGTTTTGCCAAACACCCCTATACCAAACTATCCTAGGGTATCCACGTACACTCTCTATATGTTTGGATTACATAACACCGATGTTCATATAAGACCCACTCATTGATTAAATATGAAAATTAAAAAAATTTAAAATCACTTAATTATAGCATTTATTTATTCTTATGTGCATAATTAGATCATATACCAGTTTAAATTAGGTACTCATCCGGTCCTTAATATAGGACCTAATTGTTGAGTTGGTTTTGGTCCTAAATACAAGATCCATTTATCATATTTATCAGTTTTCTCTGAATTACCCTATGGATACTCTATCAATTATAATCAGTAGAAGAGGAGATGGGATTAAAAAATGATTATGGTATTTTAGAAAAACGTGTCACATTTCTTATAATTAACTAACTGACCTAACTTCCTTAATATACCAGATTAATTAAATTGGTCTTAAATAAGAAACGGATGAGTAATTAGTTTGAAAAAACATAAATATAAATACCTGAATGTAATTTTGTTACTTTTCTTAATTTTTCTAAATAGTAACTAGCTCATATTAAAGATCAGAAGTAGTATTTAGTAGAAAATTTAAGTTCTTCTTCTTCATGAAAGGTATCTAGACTTCTGCGTTAAATGTAAAACTATAAATAAAACGCGGTATTCAGCATACACTATGATTATTGTGCGACTTATCCTTACAAAGTATAGTAAACTAATTAGCTGCGTTCATATATTAATCGCAAAATTAATAACCGATAAAACATAAACTTACACTTCCAGTTGTGCTCCTGCGAATTCCCGAAATTATATATTCCTTAAATATCCTTTTAATAGTTTAATTCTAGACAATCATAAAACAAAATAAATAATTCTTGACGTGAATAGAGTCGTCTGAGCATTACAGCCACGCATTCAAAATTGAATTGCAGTGCCGTCGACCGTCCAATACATCCTTATATTGTCATAATATACATTTAACGTGCTCCATTTTGTTCCTGTTTCCTTCCCAGTTCGCACTATACTGTCTTTTTTTAAAAAATTACGTTTACTTTTTAGAATATTCACGGTGCTTCGTTTCTTGGGCGAACATTCACTGGTTTATTATACTCAATGTTAGGTTTGTTAGGCAACCTAATTTAGTCTTCATAAGTCAAACGGAAATGAGACGCACTTTCCGGTATCCCGTATGATGTGACCGACCAAGATGAATTAGATAACCGTTAGAGTTGTTCATCCTATTTTCCTACCATCCTCGTTTAAACTCACACGGTATCCGACTCATCCGTACGCCAAATAAAATAATCTGCAAGGACCCAAGAATTGTTGGTCTATGGCACACCAAAAAAACCTTTTGGCTCACCCAGAAAAACAGACACCTGTAGTCCCCGACCCGGACTTAGCTGCTTAAACTGGGCTGATAGCTTAATTATCATCAAGAGAACGGGCCCATGTATAGCCCAATGGACTGACGGTATGCACAATTAAGACTGAGCATGAACGAGGTCTGCCTCCAGCTCCAAAAACGAAAAATGAAAAAAAAAAACAGGGGGCAAAAAAATTGAGCGCGCGGTGAATGTGCAGCGACAGTTACTTTTCTTAACAACTAGGTGAAAACCAATCATTATTTTAAAAATAATTTTATGATATACAAAATAAATATATAAAAGATTTTTATCTCGATTTGTATGAAACTACCTTTAAAAGGTATTTCCAAAAAATGACAAGTTCATCATAATAACTTTTTTCTAGTATGATTTAATGACAACTACAATATTATTTGGGATAACTATTTTTTAAAATTTTAACTTTTGAGTTTTAACCATTATTAGTTGCGTGGAGTACATTAATTATTTCACAACTTTAATAATTATTAGTTTAGTAGCCACATCTACCTTTCAAAAATGAGCATGTGAGTTTAAAAGGTTGGTAACTTTGATGACAGTTTCATTATAATCATTAGTAATTACAACTATTGATAACAATAATAAATTTTCCCAGGAGTTTGTTTTGGGAGGCTTATATATTACTACCTCCGATCTTTAATAAGATATTATTTGATTTTATTTTGATCATAAATATAAGACCTTAATCCACTTTGTTTTTATATTTATCCATTTTTCTTAAGGTAGTCATTTTAATCATAATAGTTCTAGCTAATAAACTTGATTGCAAGGATTTTTAGAAAAGACAACACCTATTTGTTACAAATAATTAATTTGATTTATTTCCTTAATCTACTAAAATTAGTCAACTAGCTTTATATTTGGCCTGAAAGTAGTACTATATATTTAGCCCTAATATAAGAACTAGTTAATTACTCTCTCGTTCTTTATTATAAGAGACAAATAACCAAATTACGTTGATCAAAAAAACAGTTAAAATTAGTTGAGGATAATAATGTGTAAAAAGTATAATGTTTTTTCCAACAATACCCCATTAATAAGGAGAGAGAGTATAAGAGAGAACAATTTAATATTAAAAAAGAGAAGTGGGAGGGGGAGAGGAGGGAGAGAATATGAGTAGGAGACAAAATAAATAGGGGTAAAATAGGACAATCAATACAAAAAACTAGAGACAACTTTTAAGTGTCTCTTATATATGAGAACATGCCATAAGCATCAAATGTCTCTATAATAAGGAACGGGAGAGGAGGGAGTAATTTAAATAGATTAAGGCAATTAGTGAGTTAGTTATTTATAATAAATAAGTGTTATATTTTTTAAAATATTTTTATTAATCGAGTGTATTGGTTAGAACTACCGTTATTACAAAGCTTATCTAAAAAAATAGATAAATATAAAAATAAATAAATTGATTTTTTATATTTAAAATTAAAATAAAAGTCAAATATATTCTTAAATAACAACCGAAAGCAGTGATATCCTAGTAGTCTTCAAATGTCACTTTCCTATGTTGTGCTATTTTCCCCACAATCCTGAGCGAACCAAAAGCCCCGAACAATGATTGTTTACGAAACAAAGGATGAGGGGTTACTCGTATTTTTACACTGGAAGTACGGGAAAAATCCGCGAAAACACTATCATCCTCGCAGTCGCTGCTCTCTTCCCGGCTCCAACGTTCAAGCCGACCCCCGCCAGAATAGTAAAATAAGCAGCGAAGTTGTTTCTTGAAATTCCTCAGCCAACAATTTTCAATAGTGCTCCCTCATGGCGACCAGCTGCTATTTTCCAAGCTGCGTTTCTGTTTCCTCTCATAACCCCTCGTTGACGCACCATCATCAGCTTCTGCAGCCATCTCTTCCCAGACATCTCCACATAAGCGCTTCCGCAACTAAGAAGCCCAGGTTTTATCTCATTTTATTGGATCAGTGAACTTCCGTGTATCTTTTACTTTATGATTCTCAATTGGATGAGTCCGCGATTCAGGAGAAGTAGAAAGCTAAAAAGCGATGCGGAGCTGTGCAACGAAATCCGGGAATTCGTCGCCGCAGTTGGACTTCCGGAGGATCACGTTCCGTCAACCAAGGAGCTTCTGCAACACGGAAGGTTCTGTTAGTCTTTTCCCCCTCTCGCTTCTAATGGAACTTGCTATATTCTTGTTCGTCGTTGCTTTTACTTTTAACTTTATCCAGTGGTATCAACGTGTTTGGGCGTGGAACGTATCTTTGATTGACGGATAAATAAGAAGAAAATATTGTAGCATTGTGAAATGGCATTTTGTTTGAAAATGAGCTTAAAGTGTTAAGAAAAATGATATATAACTGCACGAACATCATGCGAATAACTTTCTTATTTGTAGAAATATTAAGTGAATGTTAATTGTTGAGTGGTTTGATTGCGGAGGGATCAGTTTTCTATTTTTCTATTCAATTAAAACTGAACTATCAATAATAATGAGTTGGGCATGGTTTGAGTCAAAACGGTGCATCGTCATGGCCAGAATCTAATCTGAAAGGAAAAGAAACTAAACTATCAGTGATACTTAAGCATATAAACAGAGCATCTAGTTGATAACAATTATTCTCATTTTATTGCCATGAGTTTTCTTGTTGCCACAGTGAATTATGACCTTGGTTTGGAAGAAACGTTATTATAGAAATTTTATTTGGATTTTTGCTTTTTCTAACACAACCCTTCGTTTTATAGGAATGACCTAGCTAACATTGTCAGACGGAGAGGATATAAACTGCTTCGAGAGCTTCTGACAAGCTCATTAAATTCAGACATTGGTGTATTCCACACAGATCTAGACTTGGACGGAAATCTGGGAGGATCAGATGATTGCAAAGATCTTTTAACAGGTCAAAATAACTTACTTCTCTATTATATGTTTTTTTTAAAAAAAATATTTTTATGTAAAACATTACTGTTGACCTGGTATAATATGATTTTATAGGTCAGAATTTCAGAGAGGACACTACGCCTGATGATATCGCAGCATCAACTGAAGTTTCTTTGGGGAACAATTCTTCTATTTTAAATACTGACTTGGCTCCATATACAAATGACCACACTTGCATTCTAGAGAATCCTCAACTGTTTCATCTATGGCAGAAATTGACCCAAGTGAGCTCCAACATCATGCTGATAAGGTAAACCATTTGGCCGAGGGATTTGGCCACTCAACTGAAGCATCTATTGCGGATGATGGTTGCAGTAGTTCAAGAAAAGGTCCTGATCCCAACTTTAATAACGAAAATCCAATAGCTGCAGAGGCTTCTGGAAGATCATCTATTGAGGAAAAGTTGTCCCGGGATTTGGGATATGTTGATGATATGATGAGCGAAATGACTGCAGATGCATTGTCATCCACAATTCGCTTAACAGAAAGCCAGTCCAGCACTTCTGCTTCTGATTCAGATCTTGCCACTCAGGACTGGCATAAATTGGGAGATCCAGATGATACCAATAATGATGTTGCTGAAAATGTACCCTCAAGCACTGATATGGCAGATATATCTGGAGGCATAGAAATTGATTCTTTAGTTCACTCTGCTAGTAATAGTTGCATAAACATAAACTCTCCATCCAATTTGTCTTTAGAGGAGAAGGTTGCAAAATTTATACATAGTGGAGATTTAGATGCAGTTGAAGGTACAGCGAAATTAGTTTTATATCACCATGATGAATTCCTAAAACTATATCTTTGATTGAATCCTATGGTTTGATTTTAGCATATTGAGGGGAAAAAATGGAGAAAGTAGGAGCTATACTGTCCTTCTGTCACATATGCTAATTTTGCAGTCTTGAGGTTACCATAATGCCATAAATATATTGAGAAATATTTGTGTTGCCTCAGCTAAAACTTTTTGCTGGAAATACATGGCTACATTCCCATGATTCAAATAACATCCAGTTTTGTGGCAACAAGGGCCTGTGCTTTTGTCATAGTATTTGTAATACCCCAGTTAAGGTGGTCTTTGGCTCTTCATCAAATGCTTGCCCTTGGAGATGCTTATAAATGTAACTTTTTGGGTTTTCAGGTCATGCCTTTGGCATATTAAAAGGAAATGACCAGGAGGACAATGAAGAGGATATTGAATCGGGTTCTGCTGTGGAGATGACGAAGCTTTCTAAACATGAACCTAAAGAAAACACTTCTACGGCATTTTATGGATGCTCATCAACGTCCAAGCAAGTTGTTCCATCTGCAACAACAAATCACCTGGTTTGGTTAGTATTTGATAGAACTTGATTATTCAATTAATGAAATGAAAAAAAGGGACTGGTTAAAACTCTCAAACACTAACAAGAGAGTAAAACATGACAAAATTACTAATCCCTTGATAACGCAGCTGACCAACTTATTCAGTTCGGAAATTCTGGAAGTTTTCCAGTGTATTAGTGGTATTTACGTTTGAACTAACCTTTTTCTTTGGTATTATTAAAACTATATACAGGGAGGACCATTGTCAAGACGAGGATCAAACTAATCATGTGGACAAAGATTTTGATGCTGAGGTCATTCATTATGCATCTTTTTAGAGATTTGCATGATCATTTTTTCATGATCTTAATTTTTGTTTCTTGCATATTATCATGACGCAGGCTACTAAAAGGCATAATCAAAATGAGATAAATAATCTCAAATTCATGCTGGTAGTAATTTTTAAATTTCTTTTATGCTTTGTAAATCTTTCCAATGTTTATTTAGGGTGGTTGTGAAACTTATTTTATTTTAAATTCTGTTTCGTGCATAGTATCAGAAGGAGTTAGAACTGTCTCAGCTGAAGGAACAGATTGAGAAGGAAAAGGTGGATTTTTTCTCTTCTTTTCTCCCCATATATAAGTTTATACTCTGCTTGTTAACCAACCCCTTATGCAAAATTGTTCTTGCATTCAGCTAGCTTTGTATTCCCTACAAACCAAGGCAGAGGAAGAAATCAACAAAGCCAGAAAACTTATCTCTGAAAAGGATGAGTTACATGTTGCTGAAGAAAGCCTTTCTGGGTTAAAGGAGGTATAACATCTGCCTTTCTTGTGGACTTTTATTTTACTGATGCAGTCAGGGAATCTTTCAGGAACTTGGCCATGTGGTTACCTTCACATCTCATGTGATGGCTTTTGATATGCAACTCTATGAAAATTAGGGTAATTGTCTATAGATGAAACACTTGATTTATATACCTGCTGATGGCACTTTGTCCTAATACTCTCAGGTTCGGATTGAATTCTTTGGTGATGGTGATAATGTGGAGGTAGCTGGCAGCTTCAATGGTTGGCATCACCGAATTAAAATGGATCCTCAACCATCAACAAGTGTCATGGACTCCACTGCATCAAGGTTCTAAATATTTTATGATAGGGGATTCATGTCTTATTCTAAGGTTTATGTTTGATTAATTACCAACTTACCTCCGTCTGATTATACGTATCTTTCCATTGCTTGGTTCCCATTTTTGGTTAGATAACCATTTGCGCAAGTTGTCATATTTCTTTATAAAGAGTTGAGATTATTGCTTGTTGATAATTTTCCTTGGCCTAAATGTGGTTGCTCCTAATATATCATAAAATATTTCAAGATAACAACATTAGACTAGTATTTGAACCAGTTAACCTGTCTTAAATATAATGATGATATCTACTGACTACTCTAATATGTCCAGGAGATCTAGACTTTGGTCAACAATGCTGTGGCTTTATTCTGGTGTGTATGAGGTGCGTGTATCTCCTACCTATATGGTATTGTTGCAATATATTTTTTAGGAGGTTTGATTCTTGATGTCCGGATTCGAGAACATCTCCCTTTAATTGGACCAAGCAAAAAACATTTCTTCTAGAATAAACTCTCCTCTTTATTTTTATCATCACCAATTTCTTCGTTGATTTTCTGCCCCTGGAGTGATATTTGCATTGATAAGCATTATGTCTATGTCTAATTTCATATTTTGATCACAAGACACTCGGGACCTATTTGGAAATATAGATAATCTGTAGGTTATCTGTTGAGCATGGGCCTAAGTATACGTATGTTAGAAAGAAAGCCCAAATGTAGCCCAGTTTATGAGGGCGTGTGTGTGAGTTGCATGACGGGGGTATTTGTGGTTTTAGCCAGCAGGCAGTTAGAGAGGAAACGATCATAAGTCACGGTTAGTCGTATGAGAGGGGCATGAAAAATGATGAGTGGATTGTGGGGAGAGTGGTGCTCTCGAATGCACTAGGTCACTAGTCCCTTTTGGTTACATCCTTCCGTTAGGATTTTCCCTGCAGATTGTTCTCTGTTTCATTACGTAATACAGTGATTTTGGAGTCGTTTCCATTCACAATAAACCTCATCTTTCTTTGTTAACCCTATTAGTAGCAGTAATTATTCGCACTATCCATTACTTTGGATCTTCCTGTAGTGTTGGCTTACTTTCGTTCTTTCTATGGCTGGTTTAAAGCTTTTGCAAGTGTTTGTCGCAGATAAAATTTATTGTTGATGGCCAGTGGAGATTAGATCCTCAAAGGGAGTCAGTTACAAGAGGTTATATATGCAACAATATACTAAGAGTAGATAGATAGATAGATAACATCTGGCTCGTCTCAGAACTGCTCGAGGGATAAAAAAGGTAATGTCATCATTGCCATCTTGACTCCTCTCAAACAGACATTAGTGGATCCAGAGACCTTTTTTTTTTTTGGAGGGAGTGGAACTTTAAATAAATGAAACTTTGGGGGTGGGGGCTGGTCGTCAAAATTTGCTTTAGCACCTTCTACAAAGGAATTCATGCAATTTTTACGAAGGGTGAAATTCATTGGGAGGCAAACACCCCTCTCCATCATTGCTCTCAAATGCAATCTAAATATTGGTTATTCTTTATTCGCATCAAAATCTAGGAACTAAGCCGTGGGTTTCAAATGACAATCGAAGATCCCAAATCTGTAGTAAATTATCGGAACTGATATTGAAGCTGTTTTCTCTTTCACATGAGCTACACTTTTTCTCTCTTGCATTATCTACAGTTTTAGACTAGAAGTAATGATCTTGATCTGAACCTCCCCCCCCCCCAATTTTGTGCCAGAATGGTATCTTAGCTCAGTTGGGGATAACTATTGATGTTACGTATAGTCTATGCTTCCGGACTGAGAGAATTATGTACACAAGATAATACCATCCTTCATATGGTGTTACTTGAAATGGTTGATATACTCACTTCCCCATCATCCAATTTACGCGCAGGTCGTGTTGCAAACACTTGGTCCGATTAACATAGTTGTTGCGGATTGTTTTAGGCTAGAATAGAGCGTGATGGTTGATTGCCGTGCTTAATGCCATTTGATGAACGAGTCACGTTGGACGGGCTAGTAGGTGCAGCCGAGCATGGAAGCGTGCGAGAGTCCGCGTAATCTAGTTGTGGATGCGTTCTGGCACTATCCTGTTTGTGTGCATCAAGTTTAGGCTAATGAGATATGGAGATCATGACATCTTGTAAGACTGTACAGGTAGCTAGAAGATAGGAAGGAAATAGTAGTTCCCTTTGTCCCCTCCCCCTCTATTTATTTATTCTTTTTTTGGTATTAGTCTTCTCTTTTTGGCGACAACCACCATATATCAGAATAAAAGTAATGGGCTTTTTATTTAGGGCGAGGGGAGTATCATTATTGTTTCTTGAATGATTTCGAGTGACATTTTCCTTGGTTTCTCACTAAATTAAAAATTATACTTGCTCGTCATTCTGATGCATGCCTAAATTCGATTCTCTTGAGGAAAAAATCAACGAGTTTGCAAGAAATTTACCCTTAATCGATTACGGAAGGGGACATTATTCAGGCTACAAGTGAAGAATGGAGCCCCAGTATCCTCTCTGCGAATAAACATTTTTTTAAAAAGAAAAAATAGTAGGTGAAAGGGTAATTGCAAGAATAAAAGAGATAATGTATTTTAGGATGGCCGCCCGCCAAAATTCCATGGTCCATCCCAAGGAAACTCTGGTTCGTAACCCATGGAATAAGGTTGGAACAATTGCTTTCATATTCCACATAACAATTGATAATATAAAAAAGTTTTAAAAAATCACGAAAATAGTTTGAAGTTCTTTGTTTTTTAATTATAAGTAAGTTTAATGTAGATCTGTTAATATATTAGGAGGTTTCATTATTGAGTCATTAATTTATTATCATTATAATAAATATAATTCAGACTTATCTACAATTAAAAAAAATAAAAGAATTCAGAGTATTTTTTTTATATAGTTTTTTATATTTTAAATTGTTGTCTGGCATTTAAGAGAGATTTTCCAAAATCAAAAAAGTCAGGTGAATGAGACAAGGCCCAAGGCCCATTGAGATTGTTTTGCGCTGAGGACTGAAGGGCGTGTTGAAACCACGTGAAGCTGGAAAGTTACATTTGGCTTGTTGGCGTGTCTCTTTCCTCACCGTTCCCCCTCGTCTTTCTTTATCGCGAGCCTTTTCACCCTCTTTCGCCAGAGTCACTTAACAGTCTTGAGCTGAGCTCGGGAACCACCTACACCCATCATCTGTTTGCCGCATTCTTTGTTCACTCATGGCAATGGTTAGTGCTTCTGCTGCTTGTGCTAATCCCAGAATCCCACACTCTCTGTTGTCTTCTTCATTTCTCAAGGTGCCATCTCAATCCAACTGTCCCCTGGCATTCGCTCCTGCGTCAGCAACAAGGAGGATACCTTCTGTTCGCAGCAGCAAGTATTTTGTGGTAAAGGAGGAATTTCCCGAACCTATTTCTCAAATCGACGAAGAAGTGGAGTTGAGGGAGAACAGCGAAACTCTCCTCTACTCTTTCTCTCCCCTGCCATTATTGTACGCAGCTGCGCTTCTGCCTGGAGGTATTTTGATTGTCTATTATTCCGTAAAATTTAAGTTAATCCGAACATGAGATTACAGTGTGAGTATTACTTTGGTATGATAAGTCCAATGTTGATAACAGCTGGGGCTGTGCGATCTGTATTTGGCCCTTTTGTTGAGCTTGTCAAATCATGGAATCTCCCAGATTGGCTTGTGCATTGGGGTCACCCTGGCAACATGGTATTTCTGTATACTTTTTTCTGCCAAACTCTTTGATTATTATAGAAACCTACACATCTTTACGGTTACCCCAAATTTCACAACAAGCTTTTCTACGCTAATTCACTTGCAGGCAGTTGTGCTCTTTGCCATGGGTGGCTATGGAACTTATCTGGGTTTCCGTATACGTTACTCTGATGATGTGGTAAGATATCTCACGCCAGTTTCACCACTTCTGAGTTCTGATTACCGTAATTGTTTCCATATAATCTCAATTATCTCGAATTACTCAGTTTTTATTTTCTTGAATAATTTCAGGAGGAGAAGGCTAGCGCCAAGGACCTGCACCCGAAACTTTTAGGCGGTATGTTTTTCTTCTTTGCGCTGGGAGCTACTGGTGGAATAACATCTCTACTAACGTCAGATAAACCTATTTTTGAGAGGTAACCAGCAAATATTTTTCTCTGACTCGTCAGGCTTGATATTTGATTGTTCTTTTTTTTTTTTTTTCTTTCCTTGGTCGGAGATGTTATTGATTGTTCAAAATGGTCAATTCAGTAGTTTTCCCCTTCTTCTTCTTCTTCTGAAATCACCTACGTGGGTGCATGAAGTTTATCTTTGAAAGTGGGTGCTCATCACGCCATCTTATATGGGCTTTTTGTTTTTTGTCTAAATTTTTCTCTATGTAGTCCCCACGCTGTTACAGGCGTCATTGGCCTTGCTCTGTTGACAATACAAACCATATTGCCCGCACTATTTGAGGTAATTGCTATATTCTGGTATTCCTGTTACCATTTCCAAGAACCAAATTATCTCATACGACGAGAACGTGGGCGCAACTAACATGTGCATCTAACATGCAGGGGAATCCTGGACTTAGGAATGTTCACGGTATCTTGGGTAGTGGTATCATGACGCTCTTTCTTATCCATGCTGCTCTGGGACTTCAATTGGGCCTCAGTTACTAACCTTAACGCGGATTGATCCCGCACTGCTATTTTGATCGATTTTTCATTTTACAAGATGGTGTACATTCTCTCCTGGACATGGTTCCTAACTTGAATCTGAAATGAGACCTCTAAGTAACTGATCTACATTTGATGATAAGTAATCACACTCCAAGCGGTTTCCCATCTCAGGGTTGAAATTCGAGCACACTGAAGACAATATATCAGTGGTTGAAGTAGATTCCGATTGCAGTTTCCCGACTTGCGGCTCAATTTTGTAGTAGAGAGTTTATTATTACGTCCTCCACTTCGAAATATGAGAGCCAGTTGGGAATGAGATTTAATTTCAAATATAAGATCTCAATCTATTTTATTTTACAAATTTATAATTCATTTTTTAAAATATTTCTATTAATTATACATATTAAGAGAATTTTCATCCAAAAATAATCATGACTAAAATGATATATTAGGAAAATCAATTTATAATTGTTATAAATAACTAAATTAATTTTTTTCATCTATTCATATTAGTTAAATAGTAATTATATTAAGGATCGGAGGTAATATTTATTAATAGTCAGGTAGCCACAAATAGAGTCCAAAGATAATAACAATTATGGCACCATCATAATCATAGTTACAAATGGTACACAAATTTGTCACTTGCCTGTGTTTTTTATGCGCCCGTGTTCCTTTTCATGTCGCGTTTATTAACTATCAACCGTGCATGATGTAGAAAATAGCGGGTCATTTGATTTTTTTTTTTTTTGGCCTTGAGGGTCATTTGACAATTAACATTACTGTATAATAATTATAATTTCGGTATCCATATTGCCAAAGTTACAATTATCTCCAGAGCTAGCGTTCCGCTAGCCTCGCACATTTGCACGCCAATGATTTGGGACAGTAATAGTGGGCGAAAGATAGAGATTAGGGACTGACCCATGCAACGAGCAGTTTAGATACCATCTGGCCATCAAAATCTCATTTAATTAGAATTTCATTAATTGGGCTTGGATTAATGTCCTGCTCTTAAGATATATAAACGGGCATGTACTTAATTATAATTAGTAGCCATCATGTTGGATCGACCACACGAGATATCATGTGAAAGTGACTGGGAATTGAGAAAAATGCAGCAGAACACAAACCACAAAACAGAGAGGGAGCGAGTCATGCGTCGATTTTCTCTCTCTTCCAAATCTTAAGGTATATATATTTACCCACAAAACTATCACCCCTCCCTCTCGTTCCAATTCCTCACGTTTCGCACTCCTTTGTCTCAATCAAAATCGCTCGGTACGTCCCTCTCTCCTTCTCTCTTTAACACAAATCTAGCCTCTTAATTCAATCTATCATCACCAAAAAGCAATGAGCTAATGCATCGTTGATGTCATAATATTTTGGATTTCGATCTCGGTTATCTCTTGTCTGTAAAATCCAGGTCTCTGTATTCAATTACCGTCCAGGTCTAGCATTCTTTTGAAATATTCTCTTCTTCCTGTTCTTATTTTATCTGCATTTTGATAGTTTTCCATGAGACTTTGTTACGATTGTCGATGTCGATTTGAACATGCTCTGCATTTTGTCAATTTTAGATCTGTTTTATTAACAGGTCCGTCATGCCGCTTAGATTTCCTATGGTAGTAGTGATTTGCAGTAAATAGATCTAGCTTGTCTATTATTATCTACTTATGTTGTTTGTGAATATCGCAATTTCACGTTGTCTTTAGATAGTAAAATAGCATTAGAGAATGGATCCTTGAAGCCGTGGTGACGGGTAGCACAGCCACAATTCATCATTACAAACTGTTGAAGTTCCATTTCTATTTTATATTAATTATAAGTATTTACATGCAAATTAGCAAAAATTTTTCCTCATAGATTTACAGGCAACTAACACAAGTTCTGTCCCCTTTCTTTTTGTCTTTTGGAGCAGAACACTCAAAGATGGATACCTTCCTTTTCACCTCCGAATCAGTAAACGAAGGCCACCCTGACAAAATCTGCGATCAGGTTTCAGATGCTATCCTAGATGCTTGCCTGGAGCAAGACCCAGAGAGCAAAGTTGCGTGCGAGACCTGTACAAAAACTAACATGGTAATGGTGTTTGGTGAGATTACAACCACGGCTAAAGTGGACTACGAGAAAATAGTTCGTGACACTTGTAGAGGCATCGGGTTTGTATCTGCTGATGTTGGCCTTGACGCCGATAACTGCAAAGTTCTTGTGAACATCGAGCAGCAGAGCCCTGATATAGCTCAAGGAGTTCATGGTCATCTGACCAAAAAACCTGAGGAAATTGGAGCTGGTGACCAAGGTCACATGTTTGGCTACGCCACTGATGAAACACCTGAGCTAATGCCCCTTACTCATGTTCTTGCAACCAAACTAGGTGCTAAGCTCACAGAGGTCAGAAAGAACAAAACATGCCCATGGTTGAGGCCGGATGGTAAAACCCAAGTGACTGTTGAGTACAAGAACGATAATGGAGCCATGGTTCCTATCCGTGTGCACACGGTGCTCATCTCAACTCAACATGACGAAGCAGTCTCGAATGAGAAGATTGCTGCAGATTTGAAAGAGCATGTAATCAAACCAGTGATTCCGGCTGAATATCTCGATGACAAGACTATCTTCCACCTCAATCCTTCTGGTCGATTTGTGATAGGTGGCCCTCACGGAGATGCAGGACTTACTGGCCGGAAGATTATCATTGACACTTATGGTGGATGGGGTGCTCATGGTGGAGGTGCCTTCTCCGGCAAGGATCCGACCAAGGTTGATCGGAGTGGTGCATACATTGTTAGGCAGGCGGCGAAGAGTGTGGTGGCTTCAGGGCTTGCCCGGCGCTGCATAGTGCAGGTTTCTTATGCCATTGGAGTGCCAGAACCACTGTCTGTTTTTGTGGACACTTACAAAACTGGGAAGATTCCAGACCGCGATATCCTTGCCCTGATTAAGGAGAATTTCGACTTCAGGCCAGGAATGATTTCCATCAATCTTGACCTCAAAAGAGGAGGAAAATTTCGGTTCCAGAAAACTGCTGCTTATGGTCATTTTGGACGAGATGACCCTGATTTTACTTGGGAGACCGTGAAGCTGCTTAAGCCCAAGGCTTAAAGTAGCCATGGCATTTCTACAGGTGGTCATGGTTGTAGCCATCTTTTGGTTTTGGATTTTGGGGGAAAAGAAATAAAGGAGCTTCATTGCGTGCATCCACTCATGGAGATAGATTACCCAGCTTTCATGAGAAATTGAAGCAGAGACGAATACCTGGCTTTCGCACAATAGGAGCTTGTAGAATTAGTTGGTTTCTGTTTTTGACCCCTTTAAAGTTTTTGTTTTTTTTAATGTACTGATTATTTCTCTCTCTTTTTTTGCTTGGCTAAAGATTATTTCTCTTATTTAAGCCATTGATTGTTGCGCAAACTTTTGAGTAATTCTAGTAATGTCATTTATGACTTTCCAATTCACCACTAACATGACGCAGAATGAAAGAAATTGCGAACAAATGCTACATATATTGACAGAAGATGAAAGATTTGTGACAATAATCTCCAGAAATAGCTTCTTCTTCCAGTCACGGTTTAAATAATAGAGGCAAAGATGTTGTAAAAACGACGTTCTTCATTTCTAGGAGTGCAACCATAGGCGATCATGCAACCTCTCTTCCCCAGCACCATACATCTCGTCGACCTTTTCACCATCTCGGAAGAATTGGAAGGTCGGGGTGTATCGAATGTTTTGAGTTGTTTCTGGGCATTCATCAATATCTGCGTATAAGAAAGAAAGCTTCGGGAAATTTTTGCTCATTTTACAGAAAGCAGGGAGGATTTGACTGCACACGCGACACCTACAAGGGCATAAATACGAGTATCAGTAATCGTGGTTTTCTGCATCCCATGATGCGAAGAAAAACACGAAGAAATTGTAGCTGACTCGATAGTGACTTCCAAAGATTACGTAACCCTGTTTTCAGCATGACCGACAACATTCCATGAAACCACCGCGGTGCAGACTGTGTTGTTTGAAGAGTTCTAACATCAAACACCTTACGCTCATTTTTTAAGCACGAAGAATAAACAGATTCACAAACTGGGAAGACGCTAAGGAAACAAACACGTTTATAAAGAAATTGTCAGAGACGTACCAAGACGCACCATAATTGATAACAGCCTGCACAGAATTTGGCAACAGAGAAATCAATGTCACGCATAAAACTAGGGCTTTTCCTATAAAACGAGAGAAAGGAAGAAAAAGGAGTCGACGGTTACGGGAGTTTTGGAGGATTTGATGTGAAGAAGAAAGTCACGGAGCTGTTGGTCGGCGGAGGCGATTTGCAAGTTGCCGCAGCGATCGAGGGCCCAATTCGAAGCAGTACCGTTATCAGTCAAACCTTCCTTACTGTCTTCACTTCCCTTTTCCATTGTTTGGACGACACAGAGAGTGATTTAGGCAGCTATAAGGAGAAAGATAAGGTTGGAGAAAGATTTCTCCCTTTCCGCCACGAGATTAGGATCGAGACGATGAGAACGCACAGGGGCCGACAAAATGAAGCACGAAGAGAGAAGCAAGAAGCCAGGAGCACCACGTTGCCGGAAAAGTCCAAAGCCACTGCCGGCAACGATTGGATTCGTGCCAAGCCAAAAATGGCTTCTGAGAATGGGCACCAGCAGCGGGGAGGCGCACGAGACAACGAGAGGAAAGGAAGAAATGGGTACCAGCTTCAAGCAAAATCTCACCGTTTCACTAATTGCTTATTTGCTTAGATCCTCACTGAAGGATGCACTATTCATGATATCATCAGCTTTCGTTTTGCCACGCCGCAATAGGCTCGGGTAAATAATCCTTCCCTCGCATGAGATCCACTTTCCCATCGGCCCATAAAAATAACTCAAAATATTTATTAATACATATGATGGGCCGGGTATCCGTTTGAGCAAGTAAAATGCAGAAATCCTTCTCATGCATCTGGTTTTCAAATGACTTTTTTGGGAGCTGCATCCACACACACACTTACATATAGATATATGTCCTTAATATAAGACCTAATTATTAAATTAATCTTAGTCCTAAATATAAGACTTATTTATCATATTTATTAATTTTTTCTAAATTACTCCTATTGATATTCTCTCAATTATAACCAAGTAGGACATAAAAAGAAGATATTAAAAAAGATAATTATGGTATTTTAGAAAAAACATGTCATATTTCTTATAATTAACTAACTTATCTAACTTTCTTAATCTAATCAAATCAGTTAAATAGGTCTCATATTAAAAACCGGAAGAGTACATACATACACACACATATAAGCAAGACTTGTATTTTCACGTTGTATTTCATAAATTATAATTAAAAAAAATGTTTTTTGAAGATTTCTACCACTGCTCACTGCTCAGTTCAGATAAGTAATGCCAGCCCACTCAGAGAGCAAATGTCTACCGTGACCTTCCATAGTTTCGCCGAAGGCAGGTTTTCGGTTTTCCGATATTAGGCTAAACAGAAGATCTCAAGCAGAGCATAGGTTGTTGAATGTCATTCACACTAAACGAGCTTGCTGCGTTACATAAGGTAGATTATAATAAAAATTAAATAAAATGCCAATCAGCAGCCAAAGCTAATGGCGTAATAATTAAAAGCTTGGATTTTCATTTTTTTCCTGGAAAAGAAACTGTAAATGCAGTTATTAATTTAGCTAATCTTATTCATTAACTAGGTTGGAGTACCCTGAGGAATAAATAATGCTCTGAAGTACATTCACTGTTGCAAAAAGAATTGAAGCTCCTGTAATCTTTTGTTCCGGTTTTCCCTTCTCTTCTCCCAAGACAAGCAGCCTTGATTTTCTTCCAAGTCCTTCGTTCAACGAAGCAAGCATAATTTATATCTGGATCAACATGATCACGAAATGATCCAACGCCCAAAATCATTATCATTTGGTTCATCAAAGACAGTGGGATATCAACCTAGTCTGTCTCCATGAAAGCACCCGGACGAAACTTTTTGCATAATGCATTTACGGCCGCCTCAACGCGTGCTTGGTCCTGTAATAAAATCATTTGACTAGTATTACCGGAAGAACTTACATATGACTTGGTAAAGCAGAGGTTAGAATACGGGAGTCACATCGTACCTTTCCTTTGAAACTTATTATCAGAGATCCATTTCTGGATTTGCGATAACAGCCTTGATGTTGCAGAGGAAAGAAAAGGATAAATATCATGCCAAAAACAGCTGGAAAGGAAAGTAGTTCACAAAATACATACCGATAAAAATATCTGGAAATTCAAGACCAAGCTTCGATAGAGGTTGTGCAATTTCCACCTGCAGTTTGGAGTTCCCCAGATGAAAAATTGTAAACAAGATGATGCCATATGTGAAGAAAATGAGAGAAGATGCACAAAGCACAGATAGCACGTCGAAGTCACATGCTAGCCAGGATAAATTACATATCTACAAACTTATGCTCCTATAGTATGATACTAAAAGCAGCTATACGCATCATCTTGAGCCGTGAAAATATATTTTTATTGCACGCATGTGAAAAATCAAATGCCGGCCCTACATCCCCTTCCCTCTGAACGGATATCAGAATTTATTTTTTCAACACAGATAACACGTGACTCTAAAATGTGAATATTCCATGTTTCCTTTCATTATAATGGATATCTGTTGACCGAAAGTCCAGCCATAGTAAATCAAGTTACCACATACATCCGAAAGATTTGTTGTAACGTGCTTTGATACATATGGTTCCAGCAATGGTAACAGGTCAATAGATTTTGCCAACTCAATCAAACAATCCCACTGCTTTTCCAGCTCCGAATCATTCGTTGCATTAAGAACTATCACATTTTGACACTTGATCTACAAAAACAAACATCCAACATCAAACATTTAAAACCAAAAAGTACACCATCACATAATATGAAATCAAACATGTAACATGTGACACTTGATCATTGTAAATTAACCCAATTTCTGCCATTGCTCAATGTGAAATTGAACTTTCTGGCGAATGTCACAAGTAAAGAAACATAATTATGGTAAATGAATTCTCCAGAACGTACCAAGGGCACAGGCAACTTGTCATGGTGCAATAATTCTGTGATGCCTTCAGGCAGTTGAGCCATCTGAAAGGTACAAGACTAATGGATCAAACATCACAAAGAAGTGTAATGTGAAATGTCGGTCTAAATCTGAGTATGCTAGTTGGAGCCATATGTGAGAATAGAGAAGAGAGTTCTTCTGATAAGCCAGAGGTTAATCCTTTTCACTGACCCTAAAAAATACAAAACAGAGAATGTAGTAACCAGATGAGACCAGTGGGACAAGCTCTTTCATGAGATGGTAAAGGTCGGGCCTCAAAAGTTCAGATTTTGATATTCATGCATTCATAAGGAGAAACTATTGTATAAATCACCCATAAGCAACTATTAGTGGGTCCGCCTTCTGAGATGCATGCCGGTATGCAAGTGTTTCTTAGAAGAATGACTTCAAAAGGATCTCTTTTCAAAAATGCATTGAAATATTAAAATTTAAAACACAAAAGTTAAGATTAACAAGTAACTTCTCGTACACCAAGTTACCTCATTTCGGTCACCGGTACATTGATAACCAATAATATTCCCAAGATATTCTTCAAATTCTTCATCAGGAGCCTACGTCACAATCAAATGACCAAATGATATGAAGTTAGTCTTGTTATTAACCAGAAGCAGGCAACACATCCAGACGATGATGCAGTGGCCTTCATGGAAAAATGCAACAATCAGATGAAACAACGCACCAAACGAACACTAAAGGCCTTTGCAACTCCAGCTAATGTGACATCCGAATGCAGTGGACCTACACCTCCATATATAAAGACCTACAATAATCAGGTCAGTTTAAACTTAAACTATCATTTCACCAGGAAAGCCATATGCAGAATTTCATAGAATTTTTTAATTTACCAAATCATTAGTAGATTTCCGTCGCTCAACTTCTTCAGCCACAGAATCTATCTGGTATAAAAGATGCATGTCACAGAGCATTAAATTAACAGATGAGATAAAATGATTATTTCTGGGTTCATATATAATGTGTGTTTCAACATGTTCATAACAACAAATTCAAGTGCAGATATCTGCAAATTAGAACACTTAAGTACACACAGGGAGGATACATATATGAACTCACATTGTTGTGAACAACAGAAAGCTCTGAAACAGACCAACCGATAGAATGCAACTTCCTCAGCAGGGAGGGTCCCAACTGATCCTCGATAGTGCCAAACCTGAGCTAAGAAGCAGGGAAAAAAGAAAATTTATTAAAAAAATTACAAGGAGCGTAAGAATCAGGTGGGCTTCATGAGATGATAGATAGTAAAATAAATTAGTGAAATCTCCCAGAGGTACATTATAAAATAAAGTATACGAGTTCATTAAAGATACAGTTTCTGATATAATCATGTAATCAACAAGTACTTACAGAATCTCATCTCCCACAGCAATAACTGATGCTGTGAGCATACTGCTTTTGTGCAAATCCAAGCTGATCAAGCCATTGCTGTCAGTAGGATAATTTCCACTAGTAGAAGATATCTTTCTAACCCTACCTGCCCTCTCTAATCTTCCATCAGCAAGCAAGTACGCAGGCTTATATTTGTTTGAGGAGTTGCTAATGGATAATAATGCATTGGGAACTGTATCATAAATGCTCCCAATTGAAGTATAACTGCACAAATATAGAAAATCTCACACACAAATTCCTCAAATGAACTTAAACAAACTAGAACTTAACAGGAAGCCATGAACTACAATATAACAGTTATTGCATACTGCATCAAAGAGGGAGCAACACAGACTAAATAGCCTGCAAAATTTTCAGTGATACTATTCGACAAAGTCTTGATAAAACTAAATGTAGCTCCTTTATGAAATCTTCATCAAATATCTCTTGGTTACAGATCTCAGGAAAGGTTAGAGATATTAAAAGCATGCAAATATATTAAGTCCAACAATAAAGTCCAGCAATCAATAGAGTATTACCCTTGATCATAAAGACTGCAATACTTCACCTTGCAATTTAAGAGGAAGGCCCAGACATCTCTGGCATAGAAATATAGACAAGTAAAAACATCAAATCGAAACCAAATTGGAACAGAATAAAGTTGTAAAATAATGATATGATGACAATTCCCTCAATTAAAAGTAAATAACATCCCCACATCCTAAGAGAAACAAAATAAACAATAATGGAGAGAACAGATAATGCATATTTACATATAGCGACACTTTATAGAGGGAAAACCTAATAACCACCCCAAATAGTTGACCTATTTCTTTAGGTGAGCTCTCAACAGTTGGCAAGGCTTTAAGAAAAACAAGTTAACAGTGAAGGGTCAATAGGAATTTAGTCCTTTGAAATTCTGATTATGGAATAAAACAGATAAACAATGACAAAAGTCCAGATATCAAGTAACATCCAGCTAATAGATATCCCTCAGATTTTACGTATTACTGGTATTGCCTAATTATCTTCAAGTACAAGAAGAGTACAGAGTTAAAAGAAATGTGTGAAAAAATGTTTTGATATATGTAGTTATGGGGAGGCCTACCTATTAGTGGCACCCTTTGCCAGACTGATCTTAACTTCTAGCAGACTAGTGTTATTAATTTAGAAACAACATGCATACTACTCAAAAGCATATATGTTAACAGAGCTTGTTCATGTAGAGTTTATTAAACAAATTAGAGTTCTGGGATATGTTAGCAACCGCTTACATGATTCAACGAACATAAAATTTCTTGAGATTTGATTATGCTTTTATTATATAGTTCATCAATCTAGATAAGATTTCAAAAGAAATAAAGCAGCAACAAATACAAACATAAGTTATATCCCATCAAAAAACAGTCTAGTAATGAAAAAACAATGTAAAGCTGAAGGCAAAACCTGTATGACCAATCTAAAATGGGGTTCACTCTCATAAAAGCTGGCCAACCAGGTGAACTAGGGGAGAATTGTTCTTGGCCAACCTGCGAGGTTGGGAAAATGCATTCAGAGAACATAATATTTTCAAGTTTCATATGACAGCATGGGAATTTCGAAAAAAGTATCCTAGAGTTTATACGTTGTGTTAAGGGGAAAAAAATAAAATTTCAGGAATAAAAAAAGAAAAGAAAAACTATACCGCAGTTGGATCACCAATACGAACTCCAAGGAAAATAGCTTTAATTGGCTTATCCTTCAGCAAAGCCTCCAAACCAGACTTAAAATCTAAGCGAATGATGTCAAGCTGCAGACCATACCTGATTAAGCAACCAACATTAGTTACTTACTGCATGCCTTGGAAAAAGAATAAATAACTTGTCCCAATAAATGTAAACTATGGTTTAAATAGAGAATAAAATCAAAACCAGAAAAGGAAAAAGAAGCTCTACTCACGTGGCAGCTGTATCATAGGTAAATGAGTTGATTTCTGGGAAAGCACAAGGACTCTCAAAATATATTGTTCGAATTGGAAAGTCCCTTAGATCACCATTGGCACCATTTTGCCCCCTTTTATGCAAGAAATAACCAGCCCTGAGCAGGTGGAGCAAAACCTACAAACCAAAGTTCACTGTCACTATCATATCATTGAGTTCAGAGACATGGACAGGTGCTACACATATGAATACTTACTGTTGAGTCTTTTCCGCCGTTGAAGCTGAAAGCAACCTCCTCGATACTGTGGGAAGAAATATATTTAGTACACACTAATATCAGCAAATGCAGTTTATGCAGTCTTCTATACCGTTATCATTATCATTTTGTTTCTTGCTCCTTTTTTCGGATAAAACAAGGACAATAAGTTGCAAGAAGATTGATAGTCATCAATGTTCATGAATTAAAATGTATTTTAACACACCATTTTCACTTATAATCTGACAATGGCATGACTTAATAGCAACTGAAGCAGCAAAAAAGTCCTCCGTTCTACAACCACCCAATGAGAAATAATGCTCTTTGCAGCAAAGAGTTTTTAGTCATCTCTAATAGATCCTTTAAAAACAAGGACAAATGAAGCTGATGTGTTTTTTTCCCCCCAATTAAAACGCAATGCACAAATCCACACACAAAAAAAGAAGAGGAGGCAATTTTTACTCTTCAACAGGCCACCACTCCACCACTATGAGATATCTGGATAATAGCAATTGATTTTAATCATTCATTTATCTTTAATATTTAGTATTCCAGTGAGATCAGCCAAGTGGAGCTCCATAAGCAACTCATCTTCTCTTACATTTTTCAATCATTGTTTCAATGCAATTCCAGCAACGCAGGGCTGAGATAATGCAAGATTTAGGTAACGTTCAAAGCTACCAACAAAAGGATTAACTTCAAGAGGGAAGAATCAACGTTTTCGCCAGAAATGCAACAAATGGCTCTGAGGTAACTAGTATCAATAAACATTTTGTGCCATTCATTTGACCGGTTGAAACAGTTACGGAGCTGAAGCCAACAGTATTAAATGTTTTAAGCAAAATTAACAGAAAACTAACAAATCTAACTTATCGCACGTAAAATTTAAACACATCTCATAAAAAGGAGTAAGACAGCGACCCTGTAAATTACATGTAATATAGCAATCTGATAGAAGGAAGTAAAGAAGAACTTACGAATACAAAGCTAATGCTCTCTGTATAATATAGGTAGCGTTGTTGTACTTGGTCTGAAGCCTTCGATCGTCGCACTCTCTAATTGCTTTATCGATCTCCATTGACCGTGGCACACAGCAGAAAACTGAACAGCACAATTAAACATGTGATCAGAGCAGGCAAGGATCTCAAAGATTGCGGATTTGTGGCATTTTCTATGAATCAAACCTGGCTTTCCCCCGAAAAAATTCCCTTTTCGCAGCGAATGATTGCAGAAGAATTTGAAAGCGGCCTACTGCTCTGAGCAAGTTAAGTGAATTACTATAATGAAACAAAGAAGCTCAAAGGTCAACAAGGACTGGGATATCTGGAATGGCTGCTTAATAATCCCTATATAGTTTTTTTTCCATAAATGAAAAGAATCAGGAAGAGATACTATGGAAGCTTTGTCGTGTAAATTGGATGGCACGGATTGGTTGCAGGAAAGAGAAACTGAATGAAAATGGTCCCTTTCCCCCTTATCGTCTGGGCAGTGCTGTGCACGCAGCCAAAGGAGGATGAGACCGGAATTTAAGAATCGGATCAGGAGGGACATATATAATAAGATGTCTCAATGACCAAAAAATCATATTCACACATTATTCCGATTAATAATTGCAAAATGCCTTTTGTTTTCTACTTAATAAACTTCCTAGTTTCGAGAATTGATTCAATGAGATTAAAATCATTAATCCTTGGTCCAGCGTACTAAGTCAAAATCACAAAAAAAAAAAAAAGCAAAAAAAATGAAGGAGAAGGGCATGAGCGCATGAGATTACCAGACTAATCATCGAGCCAGTCTCGTAGAGGAGTATTTATATCAGATTCGAAAATTTCGAGTCATACTACAGGAAATCGTTCCATAGGAAATCGTATGAATGGGAGACATTAAAATTATATTTTGTCCGCTGCGGACTATTTTCTATTTTCAAGTCCATTATAAAACCAGCGATTCATAATAAATCTTTCTAGGTTTTCTTTGCAAGGAAAAACTTCCAAGTGGTTGCAATCGCTCGAGGGCGCCACAATTAGCGTGTGCACCATGAACTATAATCGGCATTTTTATAACTCCATCCCGGTCACGTTTAAATTCAACGCTTGCAAATCGAATATCCCAGAGATCCAAACACAAGACGGAAAATTAAGTCGGGCCCTCAAGAAACAGGTAACATGCCTTTGAAGTTTGAAGCAGACAGTCATTTTGTGTGTTCCTTTCTTCTGCCTCAAGTCTTCTCCACTAATTAGCGCATTAAACAAAAGAAGGTCAAAAGTTGAAGGCAATCTTATTGCATTCACCCAAAAATGGCACTGTTTATACAAATTCCAAGCGTAATAGATGCACAAGAAAAAGAAAAAGTTGGTGGAAAGTGGAATCTGACAGAAACGGACAAGCACCTCACGCGGTGGTTTGACGGATTCTAAATGACATTTCCAAGTTCACCCCAATCTTCCAGGGTCAACAATTAATAAAATTAGGCACCAACAGAAAAATCAAAGTACAAAATGTTCATTACAGCATTTCTAGAGTTGAAAACGAGGTCTGTATGACAAAAGGGATTCTGAAGTTTGATCCTTTCTACTGATTTTCTTTTTTAAGTAGAGATGACAAAATTATACATGACAACTTTGTCCTTTT